ACTGCTTACGTACTCTTGATAGGATCAAACTAACGTAGTTCAAACAATTGAAAATTAATGGGTAAGTGTGGCCCACTAATTTAGAATTTGTGTCTTTAAGATAATTTGGAGATTTTAAGATTTTCATAGGTAGTAGATGACTCATGGGAAAAATTGGATGGTTTTGTACCATTTTCTTATTGTCAATGTCCAAGAAAAATAATGAGCAATTTTAATAAACCCATTAATTTTCTACAAAATAATGAGGCATCAGTAAAATGGCAGCTTGTTCCCCAGCAGAGTCGCCAATTTATGTAGGGGGTTTTTTGTTCCAGCAGCCTAACGAATAGGCCTGGGCTGCTGTAAGAAGACAACGAGCAAAATCCCCCAAATGCTTGAGTTCGAAAAACAAGCTCCCAAGAGAGTTTTTAGAAAATCTAATGGGATTTTAAAAGAACACTCTCAGGATCACTTCACTAACACCCAAATAAGCATGAGGATTTCGCTAATGGCTCAGTCTGAGGAGTATGTGGCATGAGAGCTAAGCTTTCATGAGTTTAGCAGTTTGAGAGAGAGAGAGAGAGAACAACATGAATTTCTTACAGAGGATCAAATCTAAACTGAGAACGAAGGAAAACTTAGCAAGGTTTTATCTCAAGGGAAGAAGAAAAAAACGGAGAAAGGGGATTGGGTGGCTTGAGTAAATTCCAGATTGCTTGACAAAGCTTGGTCAAGCTCTGGGTCGTTGAGTCGTGGATGTCTTTTCTAAGTTGTGGATGTCTTTTCTGGGTAGCAAAAGTCTCCTTTTATAGGCGTTAGGAGCTCTAATTTCGTCTGGTTTTCCTCTTCCTTTTTCCTTGGCAGCTCCTACTTAGCCCTATTTTGATGAATTTCTCCATCCAAGGAGCATGGGTAAGGAACCCTTTATGGTTCCAATGGTTTGACGCAGCTGGGTTTTCCCATAGAGGGGAAGGCGCCACCTGCTTTCCTTATGTTTTCTCCAAGGCAGAGTTTACAGAGGAAAAGGGGAGAGATGGAGCCTTTTGTCTGATGGACACTTCTCTCATCCCCATGGATTTCCTCTGGTCTTGCCGTGATATCTTGGTAGGTTCTTTGGTGTCTTCCTAGAGCATGGGTCAATTTTTTCTCCTCTCTCTCATGCTAACCCATATGCTTGGGTTCTAGGAACGGGCTTGAGTTCCAAAGCCCCCAAGTGGCTTTGAAACCTACGTTCCTTGAACCCTCAATGGGCCCCGTGATTGCTTGTTTCCCTCCATACCACAACCTTCTCAGTAAGCCCCGGTTAATTTTGTGGCTTGGGCCCACTTAAGCTCGTGACGTAGCTTGGTATGAGAATGCGCATGATTTATATGCTCGTGCTTGGGGTTTTATTATGCCATGATAGGCTATAGTTGGGCCAAGTAGTGCCGAATGAGCATGTGAGCGTGATTTAGTAATATCGGTATGTCCTTGGCTCCTTCTGCACGTGCTTGTTTAGCATGATTTGTGGCTTGTAGCTTGTGTTGGCGGCCCTTATAAATTCTCTTTTATCCCGATTGAGCTTATTTTGCATCCAATCACTCATATTGGGCTAAGGGTTAATTTGGGCTTAGCCCCTTAGATTTTTGGGCCTCAACATCTATTAATCATATAATAGGTAATTTGTTCCTTTGTAAATTCAATGAGTGTTTATTCGGACCACCCACTAAACATTATGGACTTTTGAGAATTAATGGGCAATAATTTTTGACAACCCATGAATCTCTTTCAAGTCTTTGATATTTGTTATAAGTTAGGCCATGAGCAAGGAGTCCACATCAGGAAAGTTTTGGTATCCAGCGATTGAAGCCAACCTGATCGCTATCAACTCTTCTAGAGTTTATTTCCAAATAAAACCAAACCTTGCATTCCCCTATTTATCTGGAATACTCGTGACCAATCCAAATTGAGAGCAATCACTATAAATCTCTTAAGCATTTAAAAGACTACACAAAAAGTCACAATTGGTACAGATTTTTCGCAAGTAAGAGGAGAAAACATACAAATACTACCGGAAGCTACGAAGAGGTGCCAATCATTTTTTCCCTTTTGTTAATATTTTTTTCACTCATTTTTCTTTTGGCTGGCGTCTTTTCTTTTCCTTTTTGGCTGGCCACCATTATTTTGCTTTGTCCGAGTCTATGTGCTTTCTCTTCAACAAAGAAAACCAGCCACTTGTATTTTCCTCTCTTCCTGTAAAAACTTTACCATTGCCTCCTCTTTCCTTTTTTCTTTTTTCTCCCCTTTATTTTTTTTTTGTCACCTTTAAATAGACAAAACAAGATGAGACAGATGAAGCAAGCCACACTTTGAAATTTGCAAGTGCTGATAAGATTTAGCCCAATTTTTAGGCCAATTATCCCCTTTGAAAAAATGAATACTCTTAGTTTCAAATCCCACAATTTTAAACACAGTATATCCCACCACCTTAGGAATAAATACTGACCTATATCTCAACATAAGCTAAAAACTGAACGACCTTGCCTTTGGCAAGCCATCTAGTTTGCTAAAATCTCCTAATACCAATAGTAGCACTACTGTTTATCAGGACACAGAGAACAAATTTATTTATTGTAAATTGTAGAATTTTGGTTATGATGAGTTCTAGAGTGATGTTCATTCTCTCATCATTGTTTTCTTTTAACCATAAAGACAAAGGAAGGAATTTTATATTGACTTTATATATGGGTAATAATGCTAGGCTGATTTGAAATATCTCTACAATCCAAAGCAGATTCGCTTAGCATGGCTGATTTGAAATTGTGCCGCTAGCTTATTTGAAATTTATTGACTATTAATAGAGCGGCCAAAACAAAAAAATAGAGTGGCTGCTGCCATATAAATCATGGTGTGGAAGTGGATATCATATTCAGCCTTTAATTATCAAGTCACCTAATATTTTCCATTGGTCAAGTATGGCTGCTAAACATGCATGATAAATTTTCACCTACCCTTCAAGAACTAATTAGGAGAGTTTTGACATACAGTTATTGGTATTATTTTTAATCCTTTAAAGGTTGGATTGAATTCACATAAATAAATCATACACAGGCAGCACATCTCATATTTTTAGTACATAAATTATACACGATACGAGTCGAGATAGTACAAATAATTTTTTTTCCCCTTTGGATGGCACAAAGAAACAATTTCTATCCAATCCATGTTTTTTTTTCCTAAACTTCGTCATATAAAGCACTGTCACTCAAGTTTATGTTATTAGTTGTGCTTGAAAATCAATAGAAGTAGTATTTTTGAGAGCCTAATAATCTTTCTGTCATGTAAAGCCATATTCAAGTTGCCTTCCAGAATGATTCTGACCATGGTCTAAAATATCAATGATATCGGAAATATCGGTAGTCCAAAAACATGAAAATTTTGATGGAAATATCGGGGTATTATCGATATCGATAAAAATTGAATAAAAACCACGGAAATTGTAAGAAAAACTTGGAAATTTTTATTGCAACTTTGGAGAATATTTATTTAGTCAATTATCTATTAGTTTATAAAAATAAAAAAAAATTAGAAGGAAATGCATTACATGATGGATTTAACTGATTTAAGTTAATTATACAGCGAGTTGGCAAACACTATGAGCGTAGTAAATATGTAGTAATTAATTGAAAAAAGATTAAACACACCATAATCATTTATATATAATGATTTACTACAATATTTTACACGTTATTTATACATTGCATGGTAAGATACATGAATGACTTAATACCAAATTTTTCACTATCTTCATCATCTCTATGTGTAGAGTAAATGTATTGTGAAGAGTATTCATCAAATGATAAATCCCCAAAATAGTTTTGCATGTAATTGTTAACATGTCACTCATATAAATATAAATATTTTAGCATATTATCACTAAAACATAAGTGATATATGGTGGTTAAGGTGTTGGAGGAGTAAAATGGAAGGGGTTCAAATCCCCCTTTGTATTTTTTTTTCCTCCCTTTTTTTTCTTTTTTTTTTCTTCTTCTTTTTCCTTTTTTTTTCCCTTTACATCGATATTTTCCGATATTATCGTCAATATTGTCGATATTTATACGATATGTATATGAATGGATATGTTCCGAAATATCCGTGATTCAAAAAAACCGAAATATTATTGATATTTCATACTATGATTCTGACACGGGAATATTCAAATTTTATAGCAGTGGCGTGAATAAAACAAATTAATACTGAAGTAACCATTGGCACATGTGCAATATTGTATGCTAAAATTTTCACAAGGAAAAATTTTCAGCACTATGGAAAAAGGGACATAGGACCAAGAAGCAGATTGTTTAGGTGATCAGTCCTTTGTATGTCAGCTGGCTTGTCAACCCAACAGGCTTTGCCTAACTTTTTGGGTCATTGTGCAAATTATTAATATAATACAGTTTAGCCCCCCCCTTTTAAGGCCGCTCGGAAATATATTAAGTTTGTACAACTAGAAACAAGAGAGCCAAAAGAAATAGAGCCAAACAAACCTAAAGGTCACAATGCAATGTTGACCTTCAGATACACACGCTTATATCTAACAAAGCTACCAACATTTAGAGAAAATCAAGGCAGAACAGATTTTGACCAAAAAAAGAAGCATACTACCGATTCAGAGGTTCGTGATTAGACTAAGAGACGAAAAAGACGCTGAAATGGAGTCCCACACTGATAGGAATTAACGCAGCACGTTTTGACAATGGAACCATCTTAAATGCACAGCTGCATACATCGTTAGTTTGTATTGTAACAAAATTATAACGCAGTGATTGATTTCCGTGTCACACTTTTGCCTTCCAATTGTACAACGTTTGGAGGAATTTGTACGCGAAAATAGGAAACTTTAGCTATTCTCTTGCTGAGGTAAGCGTATGAAGAAAATAAACTTTCCCTGCTTTTTGGCTTGTTTGGTACCTAACATTTACGGTGGTAAGACTGTCAGATGATACAGATACTTCTGTTTATATAAGACTATGACCTCAACCTCATACAAATATATGTCCCCATTGCTTTCTCCAAGTACTGCTTTCTCCAAGTAAAACACAAAGTTTTGCAATCCTCGAGTAGTGGCGGCACAGCAGCTGACATACTAATTAACTACATGGGATCAGCGGAGGAGTACCAGCAGCCGCTACTACTCAGGCTTGATGACCAGCAGTCTCGGATTGCTGACTTGTCATCCACTTCCATTGAAGAGTTTCTGGGGCAACGGCAGCGGCCTGTTGAACTTCGATGGTGGTCTAGGCTAGTTGCTTGGGAGTCAAGGCTCCTCTGGACATTATCTGGTTCATCTATCACCGTTTCCATATTCAATTACATGCTTAGCTTTGTCACCCTTATGTTTTGTGGGCATTTGAATGCCTTGGAGCTTGCTGGAGCCTCTATTGCTAGTGTTGGAATTCAGGGTCTTGCTTATGGCATTATGGTATGCATCCAAAATTCATGTAGCTAGAACAATTTCATCTCTATGGTTTTTGTTTTTGTTTTTTGTTATTTTATTTTATTTTATTTATGGTGGTTGAACGTTTTTGCTTTTTTGGACTGAGAAATCAACTTATGCATAATGCTTTCTTGCCCAAGTTTTATATTGTCGAGCTGTGAATTTAGTTCGCATGTTCGAGCAAGATCCAACCAGATCAATGGTCATTTTCCCTGCAACAAAAGTATCTTATGTTGTTAGACTATCTAGCAAGAGAGCATTTTTTCTATATATAATCTAACATATATATGTTACACTCTTCCTTTCAATTCAAAGTTAGGAATGGCGAGTGCTGTGCAAACTGTTTGTGGGCAAGCATATGGAGCCAAACACTTACCAGCAATGGGAATTATATGCCAAAGGGCAATCATCTTGCACTTGGGAGCAGCAGTCCTCCTTACCTTTGTGTATTGGTGGTCAGGTCCAATACTTATAGCCATAGGCCAATCAGAAGAAATAGCAGAGCAGGGCCAAATCTTTGCAAGGGGCATAATCCCTCAACTTTATGCCTTTGCCATAAACTGCCCTCAGCAGAGGTTCCTTCAAGCACAGAACATAGTCAACCCTCTGGCCTACATATCTGTTGCAGTTTTCGTACTACACATTCTTTTCACTTGGGTGGTGGTTTTTGTTGTGGACTATGGCCTACTGGGGGCTGCTCTTACACTGAGCTTCTCTTGGTGGCTTCTTGTCGTTATATATGGGCTTTATATTCGTCTAAGCCCCAGTTGCAAGGAAACTTGGACTGGCTTGTCTTGGAAAGCCTTCAAAGGAATGTGGCCTTATTTTAAGCTGACTGTTGCTTCTGCTATCATGCTATGGTAGGTGTGGACATTAAGGCTAAAGCAACAGCTTTACCAAACCTCATTAGTCAACTATCTTATTATGTTGAAGGTGATATCTATAATTGATGTAGCCTAGTCTGGTGGGCGGGTCAGGACATGACAAGTTCAACTAAAATGGATAAGTGTCCTGGGTCATATGGTTGGTAAACTTGACGATGATGGAACTGGACTCATTAAATTGGGTAATTGTTCGACAAGTCAGAGAAAATAAGTCCCCTCCCCAAGGGCGGGACTCTATGCCAGACTTATTCCAGTCACGTCATGGCCCACCCACCAGTGAGGCCCAATCTCATGTACCACATAAGGTGGTCCACTAATGTGGTATAAAAAAGTGGTCTTTATATCTTTTCCCTTTCGAATAATTTCGAATAATAATTTATGCCTGATCATGTATTAATGTAGTTTGGAGATATGGTACAACCAGGGGTTAACGCTCATATCAGGGCTCCTCCCCAATCCTACAGTTTCACTAGACTCAATCTCGATTTCGTAAGTATGGAATTCGTTAATGCAATCTGTTTAACCTTCTACTAACCGAGGTTTCTTTCTAACTTTACATGTTCTGATGAGATATATCTTTCCAGCATGAACTACTGGAACTTCAGTTTGCAATTTATGTTAGGCCTAAGTGCGGCAGCCAGGTATATCCCAGAATTTGAAATTTATCCTTTACATGCTCAAAGTTTTATAGTGACGGAGTCAAAACAAGTATTCTGATCATAACGAGATTATTGGGCTTATGCAGTGTTCGAGTCAGTAACGAGCTAGGGGCTGGTAATCCAAGAGTGGCCAAATTTTCGGTGTTTGTAGTGACCGGAACAAGCACCCTGATTAGTATAATATTCAGTGCAATTATATTGATATTCCGAGCAGGATTGAGCAAGCTATTTACAAGTGATCCCGAGGTTGTCAAGGCAGTGTCTGATTTAACTCCATTGCTAGCCCTCTCCGTTTTCTTGAATGGCATTCAACCTATACTCTCAGGTATGGTGATATATGAAAAAAGCAGTAGATGAACAAACCAGATCTGCACAAACTGTTAGCCCTCTAGGCATCATTTTCTAAATTTAGCTGTGTGGAATTTCAGGTGTGGCAATTGGAAGTGGATGGCAAGCTGTTGTGGCATATGTTAACCTGACTTGTTACTACATTATCGGTCTTCCAATCGGATGTGTTCTTGGGTTTAAAACCAGTATGGGAGTGGCAGTAAGTTGAACCTCTCATCCCTCTATCTTGCTAATAAAGTCATTGAGGATTTGTGATAGAACATGATGAATTTTTGGCCTTTTCAGGGAATTTGGTGGGGGATGCTTCTTGGAGTTTTTTTACAAACAATAGCTCTAATTGTTCTCACCGCCAGAACAAATTGGGATGCCGAGGTGATTAAATTTTGACGAAACTATCATATGATCAGATATAGTAAACATGAACTGCATTTGGTCACATTGTCGCCAATGATTTTAATCGTGGGTTTTTTGGTAGGTTGTAAATGCGGCTGATCGACTGAAGAGATCTGCAGATGCAGATCACTCAGACTTGGTGGTCTATGTATGAGCCCATGAAAGTGTTCAAACTTCATTTCAGCGGCGTTTTCATGTAGAGCATGTTGGGATGCAGTTCTGAAGGATAAAAATTTGTTAAAAGCTACAATTTTCTCTATAGATGTTTACATATCAGTAATGAAGAAAGTAAGAAATCAGAGAATTTAGGAATCGGGGAACTATTGAATTGGTATGGGAAGAATCATTCCCATTAAGCTGTTTACTAAACATATGAAATTAGCAAAGGAATGAGGTTGATTCCCATTGTTATTGTTTACTAATTTTCATGAATTAGAATCCAAATTAATTTGATTACTAAAATCCCCTACACATTTTCACCACAGCACATATATAATTATCAAATTGGCTAAGGAGACCAAACTAATCCTATAGCAAACCAGCAAGGCGGTGTAAACATGAGGAATCAATATGTTGAACAAGATGAATAGCAAGAGCCCAGTTCAATGATAATGTTAATAACACCTTTGTCCAGAGCCAATTTCAAACGAAAAAATAAACTCCAATAAATATATATCTTTCACCTACGTAACTAGCAAACAATCAAATAATAATAACCTGCATAATCTTCATATTACCAAAAAAAAGAGATATATAATCTCCACAAAAGTCTTTATCCATGACCATATTTTGTTTTGTGATGAATGTGAAGACAGAAGATAGAAGATAGAAGAAGAAGATAGATAGAATGATTTACATGGCACAACATGTAGCTCCTACTTCTGGGAGGTTGTGTTTGCAACGTGAAAAAGAAGTTGGAGTGTCTTGGAACTTCTTGGCGTGAGTATTTTTTTTTTTTTTTTTCAGGGTTTGGGGTGTTTTGGAATTATGGTAAAGTAGTAAGGGTATTTTTGGAAATTATTAAGAGAAAACAAAAATGGGAAACGTATTGACTACTCTCCCTAGTTGATCTGATACCTAGTTTTTAGATGATGTGATTACGGATTTTAAGGTAGGGTCCACTTATTTTTTTCATTCCTAATTGCAAGTAAACGCAGGGGAAGTAAGGAATGAAAATCATTCATTTTCCTCTCATACTCATTACTGATACGTAAACATGAGGATGATCAAAGACTTACAAAAACCCTTGATCTTTTGTCAGCATGATGTGGAAACACCAGTGTGAAACGGAAACACTAGTGTGAACACAAGATTGAAAATTTGGATTGGGATTGAGAAAATGGGACCCCTTATTATATTATGAGCATATGTCATTGGCTGTCCACATTAGAATAAGAGAGGAGATTATCTATCATATGCAATGATTAAGGAAATTAAGTCTTATTTAATTAAGGTTTTGTTTGTAAATACTTTTGAAGAAAGCACTTATGTTATAAGGTGTTCTTATAAAGTGTTTTGTGACCCAAAAATACTTATAAATTATTATGCAAAACACTATTATAAACGCTTTTAATTACCAGAACTTGCTTTTAGACACTTTAGAAACACTCCAAACCGACTAGACATCTTCGAGACACTTGTAAATTGATCAGGAATTGGGTTGGAAATTAAATGCGATGAGTGGACTAGAATAACATGGCGTTTTGTACAAAATGTTGACTTGGGGCACGTTTTGCGTGTGAAAATGCGGATAAAATAAGAGCATTTAAAAGGTGTCAGGTGTGAACGTGGGTTCGGAGTGGCGGTGGTTGGTGCGTGTAAGACGGTGACTAGGGATTACCTGGAACTTAGGAAATGCTTTCTTTTTTCATTTTTCTGGGTTTTATTTTGGAAAGTCTGATTGGGAGACTAACAACGCCAAACTTTTGTAAACACAATATATATTCTCGAAGTCAAAAAAAAAATACTGTAGAACAATTCTTCCTAAGGGGAACAAGAAGATTTCAAGAAAGCCGTGTGTACAATTCTTCCTTGAATATTGGTAGAAATTAACGTAGAGAAGGAAGGTGGAAATAACTATCTCTGACTCTGAACACAATATATAAAACAACTTTTCTTATAATTTTTTGGCTTTTTATCACAAAACATTCTTGATATTTGGGAAACTATTAGATTGCATCTTTAAAGTTTTTTTGTATCACTCATGGTCCCTAACGTTAATATAGGTGCTCTTGAATAGTTCATCTGTTAAAAAAACTGTTAAATTCAGAGATATTATCATCAAATCAATCCAAAATTATAACAAAAATATATTTTTTATTTCCTTCCCTTCTCTATTTCTTTCTTCCTTCTTCTTCTTTCTCTTTGTCTTGTCTTCTTCTTCTTCTTTCTTCCGTACGTGTAGCTGAGAAGTTGTCCAGGAAGAAATCGGAGAGGTTCACTTATCTTGTTGCTGCGATGATGTCTAGCTTTGGTATTAACTTCCATGGCTGTCATGGCTGTTTATTACAGATTTTACTAGCAAATGGAGGTACCCAATTTCTTTCTGCTCCCTAAACCACAAAAGTTACGAACTTTATCTTCTCTGGTTGAGTTTTTGAATTGGGTGATTTTGTTTTCTATGTAGGGTGGAAATGTGCCTTTGTCTGAAATATTGGGTACATTTGCTCTATCTGTTGGTGCTGCTGTAAGTTCACTGACAGCTTCTCAATTGGGGAAACTTAATTAAATTAAATTGATTTTGAAGTTTTTTTCTTTACACTGAAAACTACTAAATCGATTTGGATTTTATATATGTATATTTTAGGTGGGAATGGAGTTTTGGGCAAGATGGGCTCATAAGATGGGAATAGAGTTTAGGTAGGTTCATATATATGTAGATTTTATATATGTATATTTTAGGTGGGAATGGAATTTTGTTACTTTTTGTTATCTCTTTTATGCCAACAAAATTTTGAGTTTGGAATTTTGTTTCTTTTCGTTCACTGGGAAACCAGCAATGAAAGAAACATGACAAGCGTGAGTTTTTATATTGTTTTTCCATTCAGTTTCTTAGTAACCAATCAGTATTTGATATTTGATATGAACTTTAGTTGCAGTCTCATGACCGACCCAGAGAAGGTCCATTCGAGCTTAACGATGGACTGAAACAGAGAGAGAGAGGAGATAAGGAATCTGGCAGAGAGAAAGAAGAAGAAGAAAGAAAGAGAGAAGGAAAGGAAATTAAAAAAAAAATTATATATATATTTTATAATTTTGGATTGATTTGACGATTATATCCCTGGATTTAACAGTTTTTTTAACAGATGGACTATTTAAGAGCACCTATATTAACGTTATGGACCATAAGTGATACAAAAAAAACTTTAAGGATGCAATCTAATAGTTTCGCAAACGTCAGGGACGTTTTGTAATAAAAAGCCTAATTTTTTTTTTTTCTGAAAAAGGTTGAGATTTGAAAATCATTTGCTTTTCTAGCTTCCTAGTAGTCGTATAGGAAATTAAAGAGAGAAGAAAGAAGGAAAAGCAGAACAATGGATGTTGTCCTGTTTCTAAGTCATATCACCCTGTCCTTGTGGTGTATGAGTAGTGCAATGCTAGCAGCACCATCAGAAGCAGTACCCTTATTAGCAAAGCCTAACTGTCAATCGCGCTGCGGTGACGTGGAGATCCCATACCCTTTTGGAAATGGAGAAGGTTGCTACATTGACGACTGGTTTCAAATAAAATGTGTCAACTCAACCAAACCTTTCTTGAACATCATCAATCTAGAGGTGCTAGAAATTTCTGTTAAAGGTACACTAAATGTAGCAAACCCAATCACCATCTCTTCTAACTACAATGCTAACAAGCCAATTCTCCAAGCGGCCAACTTGGAGGGAAGCCCTTTTGTGTTCTCCCAGGAGAACATATTCACTGCAATGGGTTGCGGCGTTATGGCCACAATCACCTCAGACTCAAATGGCTATACCATTTCAGCCGGTTCAAGTCGTTTGCCAGAAATTCAATAAATAATTTTTCTGCCATCCGTCATATGGAACATGTTCCTGTGAAGCTAGAATGGAGCTTATACCATTCGACGATCGATGTATTTGGAGCCGTTGTAGAAGTAAATCCCATAGTCGTGGATTCTGAGTCCTCCTTCTATTGCAGAAGTTATAATGGCAGCTCTTCAATATATAAATCCTCAAGCAGGCTTGAATGTTCCTGCAATGCGGGTATGAGGGAAATCCATATCTTCTACAGGGATGTCAAGGTAAACAACCTTAGAGCACTAAATGGCACATTTGGTTACTTGGAATTATTTCTAATTTGTTTTATAATGATCAACAAACAAACACTGTCTTTCAATTTTGTACTCTCTTTTTTTTTGGGTTGAATTGTCAATGATTTCCTAATGTTCACAGGAAGGATTAGGAAACAAATATGTAATTATGTGCTATAGAATATTTCTTTTCCTATTGTAATTTAGATTCCTAGAATAGCTTAGCATCATTATAGGAAATCTCTTGTATAAAGTTACACCCTCTGACTCAATGAAAATTATTCAGGCAAATATCTTTCTTCCCTATTTTACATGGTATCAGAGCAGGAAGACAAACCCTAGCTCTCTTTTTTTTTGCCGTCTGAATTTTTCTTCTTACCTTTGAACTCTGTTATTTCTCTGAAAAATGTGCTTGGTGTGCCATCTTTCAAGGTGGATTTGATGTCTGTGAGTCCAGTTACAAGAAGTCTCAATTGTTCTATAACCTTTTTTCCCTCTTGGTGTATTTTGCAGGACTTGACGACGAAGACGACGATTGGTTTGGGTAAACAACGAGACGGACTTTATTACTTGGTCGCATTGGCGTCAGCAACATCGAGCCCTAAATTCAGATTCTCCGCTGCCATTGCTAGCCATCCATCTTGTTCTCATGTCCCCTCTTCCACTGACTTGTGGCACCGCCGATTAGGGCATCTATCTTCCTCTAGATTAGATTTTATGGCAAAAAATTTGCTCAATTTTCCTTTCAAATCCAATAATGCTTGTGATGTTTGTGCACTTGCAAAACAATGTCGACTTCCTTTTTCTGCTAGTTCAATTTCGTCTATTAGACCGTTTGAGTTAATTCATTGTGATATTTGGGGCCCCTACAAAATTCCTTCTTTTTCTGGTGCTAAATATTTTTTGACAATTGTGAATGATTATTCTCGTTTCACATGGGTATTCTTTATGCAGCACAAAAGTGAAACACAACATTTACTTACAAACTTTTTCTCCTTTGTCAAAACTCAATTTGCTGCATCCATCGCTAACATTCGTGTTGATAATGGGGGGGAATTCTCTTCTATGAAAGATTTTTTTCAACAAAATGGCACCACTTACCAACACTCTTGTGTCTATACACCCCAACAAAATGGGGTTGTAGAGTGCAAACATCGTCATATCCTTGAGTCAGCCCGCGCCCTTCGCTTTCAAGCCCATCTCCCTTTGTGTTTTTGGGCAGAATGTGTTCTCACCGCTATACATTTGATTAATCGTTTGCCCACACCACTTCTTTCCCAACAAACTCCTTTTAAACGCCTTTATGGTAAGACCCCTTCCTATTCCCATCTTAAGGTTTTTGGGTGTCTTGCCTATGCTACTGATGTGCATGTCCCTCATAAATTCGCTCATAGAGCCAAACGTTGTGTTTTCCTTGGTTACCCGGTCAGTCAAAAAGCCTACAAGCTCTATAACCTTACCACTCATAAATTTTTCACTAGTCGTGACATTGTTTTTCATGAAACTATTTTTCCCTATGTGTCCCTTCCATCCATTCCAACACCTCCAGCCCCCGTCCTTCCTCATTTTATGTCTGACCCTCCTATTTCTGACTCATTCCCCACGTCTCCGCATCCAGCCACCTCCACTTTTGATAAACCCATTCCTGCCAGCGTCGTTCAGCCCCTTCCCGTCCCTCCATTAGAAATGACCCAGCCAGATTCTCCTTCTGCGTCTCCGCATCTAGCCACCTATTTAGGGTGTAACACCCCGACTCCAAGTAAATTTCCAATTTAAAGTATTTAATCTAATTAAATGCGAACATACGGAATTACCCTTGGGGCGGGGTAGTTCGATCATTTTCTTAATCCAGAGAGGGAGTTTGGGGCAGTGTTTGATATTTATTTTGGATTGATCGCTTTGAGGTGAGTCCGTGGACATGTGGCGGACTCGATTCGGAATGGTAACGAGGTTTCAGCGATCAAATTTCCTTCGGTGGCAAAACCGTAATTAATTTGAGAAGGGATGGGGTTAAAAATCAGATTTTTTTCCTTTTTTTTCCGTTTTATCTCTCTCTCTCTCTCTCTCTCTCTCGCGTGCTCTCTCTCTCTGGTTCGCATCGGTATTGTTCATCGAGATGAAAATTACCGTCCCGCTGCCACATCCGGCCACCCCAGCCTTCGAGACCGGTCCCGTTCGACTCGTAGTGAAGTCCCGGACCTGACCCACCCAATTTCCCCGCCGGAAAACTCAAGAATCGACGGCGGTTGCGATAGGTGAGTCCGTGGACATGTGGCGGACTCGATTCGGAATGGTAACGAGGTTTCAGCGATCAAATTTCCTTCGGTGGCAAAACCGTAATTAATTTGAGAAGGGATGGGGTTAAAAATCAGATTTTTTTCCTTTTTTTTCCGTTTTATCTCTCTCTCTCTCTCTCTCTCTCTCTCGCGTGCTCTCTCTCTCTGGTTCGCATCGGTATTGTTCATCGAGATGAAAATTACCGTCCCGCTGCCACATCCGGCCACCCCAGCCTTCGAGACCGGTCCCGTTCGACTCGTATCTGCTCGACGTCCCGGTTAAGACCTACCGGTTTTCCCAGCCGGAAAACTCAAGAATTGACGACGGTTGCGACTGGTTCGAATCGGGATTTCTCCGATCGTTGCGCCGCCACTCTAGCCGTCCATTTCCGGTGATTGAGGTGAGGTTTCTTCCTCTTTTTGTCTGTTCTAGCTGGCCTTTAAGTAGGTTTGGATCGATTTGATGCGTAGAAACCGATTTGAAAACCTAGGTTTTTGGCCGGATTTCAAAGTGAAATTCCGGCCAGTTGTCGTCCAAATTGGACCTCCCCGTAGTTGAATGAAATGATCCTTGCCTTGAGTAGTATCTAGGGTAGGAAGGGTGACTTGTGATTTGAAGATTTTCCGTCGTCGGAATTTCTCTACACACCCGCTTGCCGCCAGCGCGTGTGGCGGCGTGTGGGCAAGTATGGTGGAGCTGCAAACTGTTCCAATGTGATCTTTAAGTTATTGCCGTCCATTTCCGGTGATTGAAGTGAGGTTTCTTCCTCTTTTTATTTGTTCTAGCTGGCCTTTGAGTAGGTTTGGATCGATTTGATGCGTAGAAACTTATTTGAAAATCTAGGTTGTATGTTCCTCCTGATACCCTTAGAATCGTGTAGGATTCGACGGATCGTACAACGGAGTCCCGGATACTCCGGAAATGCCAACCCTAGGGTGAAGGTTTCAGTAACCGTCCAATCGTGCGATCGTGAGCGATCTAACCGTCCGTTTCGGACCAAACTTACAGGACGTGTATCCTAGACCTCATAAAACCTATAGGAACTCCCGGGAAGCTAGAGTTTTATTTTAAGGTTATGTTTTGAAGCGAGCGCATAGGATTTCGCGGATCTCGATTCCGAGGTCGTTTGACTATCGAACGGATTATCGCATATTGTGCGTTATTTGGGTTCGATATGTTCCGACCATCTACTTGTGAGTGGACTTTTCTTTCGAAACTCAGTATGATTTTATTCATGGGAATATGGCATATTGTTTTATTATGTCTATTAATTATTTATATACGCTCGAATGGGAATTCGAGGTTTTCGTAGAACTTATTATGATATTTGAATTTTGAGAAGCTATATTTACATGCGGCTATGCATGGGGTACTTGGTGGTTAATATGAGCTATGGAAAGGTAATGTTTGATCTGTTATTTGGAGTGCAAGTTCGTTCCCCAGTTGGACGGCTCATTCCCTAGACACATGGTGAATTGAGGAATGGCTCTGCCATGTGGACTAGTCAAACAGTCCCCCGGTTGGATTGTTTCCCCGGTACAATTAAATATTGGTTATATTTATATACTATTATTATTATTATTATTATTATTATGTTATATCATATTATTATTATGTATGTATTTGTATATATAAATATATATATATATATATATATATGAATGTTCTTTCGTTCTATTTCTCGGTAAGGACATTTCCTCGCCGGTCGTACCTTTGAGTACGTTTACGAGAGTCTAATCTCTCGGGACTCTTAAGTTGAGTGGTGGGTTTCGTGAAGCATTATTCACGGATTACGGATTTGAGATCCGGTATATATGTGTTAGTATATGTTTATATACTGTTTCTGTTGGTTTTGTTAAGCTTATGGTTTCATTGCATGTTTTTGATAAGGTGGGGGTTATACTACTTTGATTTCACTTGAACTGAACTTGATTTTTGTCCACTCACAACTTTCTGTTTTGCGCCCCCAGCCAGTAGCGACTGAGCTCTGTAGTTGAGCCGGACCGGGTGCATCTTGGAACTCGAGTCTTCTTAGAGACTCTTGGTACTTTTTCCTTTCAGTTAAAT